TGGTTCTGCCACAAGTCAGCAAACACACTCAGTTTCGCAAATTCCAGAGTGGCTTTGCAGCTTAGGGCTGCGCTCTTTGAGCTAGAGGGTTGACCTGAACTCCATCGTTCACACTGTTCATTCCTAGGGAGCATTGTACAACTTGAAAACCAGTTGAAGAGGGTGATCTCCCAGGCTCATTGCTAACTGCTGCAGGGAGAACCTTCTCGGGAAGCATTTCCATTTCAGAAACATCAGTGCTGCTGACCTGCCTAATGCAGAATCATTTCTGTCACCCTCCCCTATGCATTTGGAAGAACTGTACCACCCAGGAAAACACTCTCAGCTGAGTTAAAAGGTCAAGGTTTTGGTCAGAGTCTCACTCAACAATTCAGACCTTCTCTGAGCTGTTTTCTTCCTCTGACATGAAAATAATCAGAGGACTAACCCACGATTGCTGCTAAGATCAAGTGAGATTGTGGATGTGAACCGAACTACACACACACACCATCCTCCTTTGAGAAGTCACCTATACAACAGGCTTCTAGTCATGAAGTTAAGCATGGCCTGAGGCTGACTCTAAAGGGTTAGATTGCTTTCAGACCCAAAGAGCACATAAGAAAAGACTCACGGAAGCGTTTTCTGAGGCTTGCTTTCAGCAGTACAAGTGTGGAGGCAAACGGCAACTCTAAAGCAGCTGGGGGCTGAAAACCCAGAGGAAGAGGGGCCCAAACAGAAACTCCAAAGCCCAGTGATGTGAAGCAAGCCTCTGCTTACTTCCCGGGTGAGGAGCCCCGTGACTGGCCAAAGAAGCTCAGTCAGGTTCCACGTCCCTCTGCGCCAACCTGCTTTCAACCGGTAACACTGAGCGTCTTTGTTCTCAACCCCTGCCCAAACCTACCTAACTTCGCTTCTGTTCTTCATTGGAGCGATGGCTTCCTGGGACAGCAGTCTGGCCACCAGTCCAGGGCGCCAGTCTCTGCAAACACCTTCGCTTTCCCAACTCAAGCAGTCTCTCACAGCTGCCTCATGAGTGATGGGCAGCTGGGCCCGAGCCCAGTCTCATCACCGCTGATGCTCAATCCCAGCTAGCTCATAAAAGCTGAGCATCCTGATGCAGTGGATGACCTTCACTCCCCAACCTTGCCATCTAGGTTGATAACATTGTTTTATCTCTGACAGCCACTGCCCCTGCCTTGGCTGGGGATCAGTCTTTCCCTGAGACTTCAAAGTGGGGGGGAGGGGCGCAAGAGAGGGAAGGAACAGAATGAAACCACTCCTCCAGGGAGGGCCAGCGAGGTGATCTCAAAATGCCATAGTTATCTTCTTAAATTATCATTATTAGGGCAGCCAAAAAGAGTGTTTACCTTGGGATGACATCATGGTTAAGAGCCAAGGGTGGGAGCTGGGACTGGGGGTACAAATCTTGACCCCGCCTGCGTTTAGCTCCACATTTTCAAGGTCCTGACCTCATCTATGAAATGGGCATAATAGTAGTAACTACCTCCTATTACATCATATTTTAAGTTACTTAATTTGTAGGAACATCTAGCACCATGAGCAGGACACGCAAAACATGCCACACATGTCGGTTACGGGTATAAAGCAGACCCAGGTTCAGAAACACACAATCGGGCAAACAGGAAGCAGGTCGCGACCCAGTCACCTTACAGGGTTGGTCCCTGCGCCTCTCTTCCCCATCAGCTTCCCAAAGGAGGTGGGAAGAGAAGGCACAGGGGGAGACTGGGGCTCTAGCAAGGGGGTCTGGCTAAGGCGAGTAGAGTGGGGTGACAAGTGGGTTAAGAGACACATCTCTATTTTGCTAAGGATACTAAGAAGCCTTTGACGACAAAAAGGACAAGAACATCTTTGGGAAGTGGTTTGGCCAAATGTGTTCCAGGCAAAACTAAACTTTTCCATTGCTAGTCTCGATACTGACATCTCTTTGAACTCAAGTGGGGGAAATAAGCAAGAAAGAAGGAGAGAATACGCGGAAGGTTTTCATTGGAGCATTATTTTAAAAGAGTTTTATAGGGTTCTAAGTCTCCCTTCTAGTGTACAATCCCATGCTCTTTAAAGGACATTCACAGAGATGTGCAAACACCATTACCCAATTTTAAACATTTCATTACCTCAGAAAGAAATCATTAGCTGTAACTCCCTAATCCTCTCTCCCTCCAGCAGCCGTGAACCTACTTTCTATCTCGTGAAGCATTGTTTTTGATGACCACAGAACATATTGCATAAAATGAACTCAACATTACCAGCATAGCATAAAGGTGTGCTGAACAAATCACAGTATGTCCATGAGACGGAATATCCCATGGTTGTCAGAAATTATGACAATGAAAGTTGTGGCAGCCAGTAAAATACACACAGCTTCTTTATTTCCTGAAAGACACAAGGCAGCGGTGACTACGTCCTGATGTGAACCGGAGTTTGTGCGAGCAAACTGGGAGAAATGTGCAGGTTCGGATATGACTGTAATGATTTTCCTTCAGCTTTCTTTTTTTAAAAAAAAAAAAAAAAGATTTATTTATTTATACATATAAGAGCTAGAGGTGGGGGGAGGAGGGAGGTGATAGGATTCACCAAAGGCAGAGTGGGGAGAACAGGCAGAATGACTGAAACCCACTGCTGAGGGAGCAGCCAGGAGACAGGAGAGGGCTGCCGCGCCATGAGGGTCACTCCCTGGCCGGGGATTAAACAGTGGCTCCAGAAGGCTTCACAGTGCTATGCTTTCACCCTGACCTGCCACCAGGCAGGGCCTTCTTCAGCTTTTAAATCTTTGTAACATTTTACAATTTTTAACAAATGGAAAATTTTAGTAAGTCTACTTAAAGTGATTAAAATAGGCAACAAATTAAAGGGTACAGCCAGTGGTCCAGTCTAGAGGCTGGACCCAGTCTGAGCTCTACAAGTTGGTGTCTCCCTCTACCTTCCAAGTGTCTTGAGCTGCTGGGGTCCTACCTCCACCAGACTGCTGCCCTTTGCCACAGTGGGCATCTCAGGTGATACCTCACTCCTGCACTGGCTCTGGACAAAACCCTCTTACTCAGCTTAACTGCCCCCAAGTTGGCCACCTTCCTTCCATTCATAAGTTAATTGCAGATAGAAACCCTTCAGATTCCAGCCACACTTTCACAAAAGGAAATGACTCACAAGGAAATGGTGGACTCCAAGTAACAGCCAGCTTTGCTCCCCTTCCATCCCCACGACCAGAGAGTCATCAGACCATCCCACCACCATGGCACACAGAGATGCCCTCGGGACACACTTGCCTCTTCCTCTCACACACGATAAAGGTCTCCACCCAGGCAGTCCCAGCTCCCCCTGTGACTGGGCCAGGGGTAATTTGTGTGCCCCATTCTCTGTTACTCCCTAGGCTTGTGCACTGGTGACACTGCAGTCCTGCTCCAGCCTCATCTCCCTGTCTGACACCTGCAGCACCCACCTCACCAGTCTGACCCATCACTAGCACTGCCAGCATGGGGGCAGGCAGGGGCAGAACGGCACCTCCAGATGAAAGCATTCCATTGGGGTTAGTGAGCAGGAACCAGGTTCAGGGACCTTGCCAAGGATGCCAGAAACCCACCCCTGCCCTGCGCTCACAGTGAAGACAGGCAGGCAAATGGAAATGATCATATTAAACCAGTTGGTGGCCATGGGTGTTGGGGGGAACAGCCTGGCACACCATGCCACACCTGAAGGGGCACACACAGTGTGCAAGGCACTGTGTGCTAGAGACAGGCCCTGGTCTCCAACCCCAGGCCCAAAACATGGCCCCTGAGGACACGGCAAACTGCTGGGAACACAGTGCACACCAGGAAGGAGGGAGAGAGGTGATTTCACTCTGATCCCAGTACAAAGACCGGCGTCCCCTCCCCCGCCAAGCTGTCATTAAGGCAGTCAGGTGGGTGGAGTGAGTAAAACCCAGAAAAATCAAGAATCCTAGGTGGGGCCTAGGTAGGAGGTCAGCCTTGAGGAAAAGGAGACTGGGGCAGAAGGGAGGGAGGAACCTGCGGGCTTCAGCTCCTCCCTCCTCCAGCTCCCCAACAACCTTTCTGCGGAGACAGGTTCGGACAGGTGAGGGAGGAACTCCTGACTGGCTCCCGGGAGTGAGCTGGGGTTGGGGCTGGGTGTGAGGCGGGGTTTGGGCCATTCCAGTCTTCCACTCCCTGCTCTGGGAACACCAGACAGCTGGTTTGGGGGTGTGGGCTGCCTAGGCGAAGACACTGTGTTGCAGAGGAAAGACAAGGCTTCTCTTCACCAGCCTCCCAGCTCCAGCGGTAACCCCAGCAGGAAACTTGAAATGTAAGTTTACTGGGCTAGAGCCAGTAGAGGGGGTGGGGGGCCTCGCAGCTACCAGTGCACGGAGGTCAGGAGTTGTCTGGGCTCCTGTGCCCAGGCCTTTGTCCTGTCCCCACATACACTTGCTCCCTCCAGCAGGGTAGGGACTGGCTGCTGAAAAGGGCAAGATGACGTCAGGGCTGTTCTCTCCCCAACTGGGTCAGTCAGAGGCCCTAGGCCTGGGGAAGTGGGGAGAAGGGGTGGAGGTCCAGTTCCAGCAATAGTGGAGAAACGGCAGCGCCTGCCCCATCACCTGGATTCCAGAGAGGCCATGAGCCTGGAGGCCCCAGTCTCGGACCTCCCAGGAATGGCTCCTGGACAGTGGACAAAGATAAAGCAGGAAATATCTAGGGAAGGAGGAAGAAGGAAGGGGAGCAGGGCTCTGACCCAACAAAGTCGCAGGAGGGCTGAGGATCAGAACCCCTGGGCTGGTCGCCCTCACTCCACAACGCTCACCCCACACCAGCCCCCAGCCCGAGTCCAGGTCTTGGAGCCTGTGATTAGAATGACGGAGGGGACCTGATCCTTTCTGTGGGCCATTTGTTTGATTTGCAACTGAAACCCTGAAACTCAAAGGGGTCTGACACTCTACTATCTGACTCAGTGGCGATGCCAGCTGCGGGTCAGACACAACAGCTGCGTGTCTCTTTGCAGGTGCCCGGGGCGGGGCCATGGTGCCAAGCCAGTGGTGGGGGAGACTGCAGAAGCCGCTTCTCTACCTGTGCTGCACCTCCTTCCTCCTGGGGCTGGCTTTGCTGGGCATCCGGCCGGACCTCGCCCCTGTTGCTTATTTCTTTCTGGCCTTGGGTGGCTTCTTCATGTTTGCCTGCCTCGTGGTCTGTTTTCTGGAGTGGGGCTTCCGATCCATGCAGACTGAGCGCCCTGGGGCCTCAGACAGTGCACGGTGAGTTAAGGGGCCTGCAGGATTCTAGAACCCCTTCCCCCTTCCTCCCTGTAGACGCTGCAAACAGCGTCCACATTCCTGTGTCTCTGGTATCACCCAGAGGTGGGGCTCAGTAGCGGGCTCATTTTGCCAGCTGAAAAGAGGAAAGGGGCAAAGGGCTCTTTCAGGAACCCACCAGCGACTTCGTTTCTCCTCCCTCAGGGACAATGAAGTCTTTGAGGTGCCAACGTACGAAGAGGCTGTGGTGTTGGAATCACAGAGCCACCCCCACGAACCGGATCAGCCACCCCCCTACTACAGTGTTGTCATCCCCCCAGGACTAGAGGAGGGACAGCCTAGCCCTGCAGAGGGGCCGGGGAGAGCCAGACTGAAAAGGCGAGTGGTCTCGGAGGGGTCCGTGGCCCCTGGAGGGAGCCCAGGAAGAGCTCTCCGGCTCCGGGGATTGCGGGCCATGTCCGCTTCTTCTGATATGCAGAGTTTGGGTGTGCTCCCCAAGGTGGAGCCTCTGACACCACCCCCCACCTATGACGTCAGCTTTGGTCAGCCTGATGATGATAGTGTTTTCTATGAAAACAACTGGACACCCCCATAAGTGACTTTCTAAGACACGTTACCCCTCTGCACCAGACCCACCCACTCATTAGGCCAACATTCCCCAGGGCCTGCGTGTCTGGAAGCTTCTACCTGGACGTGCCCCATGGGGGTCTTGAACCCAGAGAGGCACCAGGTTACGGTCAGCCCTTCCCACTTGAGACTTGAGGCAGCGTTCAGTGACCTACCCCAGATCCGAGAGCGCCAGACTTAGGTGGAAGGTGAGGTTTGAAGATCCAGGGGACCTGGAGAAGAAAAGAAACACCTGCCGGAGCACGGAGTTGCCGCTGTGGCGGTACCATCTCTAGGCTACCCGCAGGTGGCCCAGAATAACGAGGACGATAAGGAGGACTCCAGCCCTCATTGGAAAAACGCGCGTTCCCAGGTTCAGGGGACCCAGTGCTCCCCGCAGGGCACGCTGCTAGTAACGGAGCCTGAAAGGCCTGAAAGGACATGGCTGTCCTAACCCAGAGCCCTAGGTGTTCCCAGTGCAAGGTCGTGGGCAGCCGAGCCACGCGCACCTGTCTCCGGACGACTGCTGTGAGGGGTGAAGAGCCCACAGAGGCAAAGTGGGGGCCACTGGTGTGTGCAGACAGGGGCTGAGAGCGGCCCTGAGTGCGCCCTGCCCCGCGGAGGAGCAAAGTCAACCAAAGCAGTGATGGCCCCGCCATGTGGGGCGCAGGGTCCCCTCCTCCAGGGAAGCAGTCTAGTGAACTGTCGGGGCGGAGGAGTGAGGGGTCCCCTCGTCGCCCCCGGGGTCACAGGGCCAGAGAGGCCATAACGAGACCGTTTTGGCGACGGTCTCGGTAAGGCTGCAGCCTCACCCTGCCGGCCCACCTCCAAGGGTGCACCCCAGCTCCCAGCACCCCCACCGCCGGGCCCTGCTTCTCAGACCCCGAGGGCACACAGCTTTCTGGACGGGGTTTTGGTCATGGGTGCTGCTCGGCCACGGCTGGCCAGCGGCCCCTAGGAGAGCGCCCCACTCCTGCCTCAAACACGGCGCGCGTCTGCCTAGCGCCCCCTGGTGCCCGCCAGCCGTTCCTTACCCTGGGCCCGGGCGCTCGACCTGAATAAAGTGGAAAGTCCGGCCACACCCGCGTCAGCAAAGTTCTTTCCATAGGCTGAGGAGACGCGAGGGCGGGGCGGGGGCGGGAGCAGTGGTTTCCGCGGGAAGCGCGGACCAATCATTTTCTCAGGTGGGCGGGGCGGCATAGCACTATGCCCCTCCCCTTCCCTTTCCGTCCTGAGCGCTCTCTCACCCCATTGGACAGCACTTCCTCCGCGAGGGTTCTGCGCCTGCGCGCGCCCGGACGAGGTGGGGCGGGGGCGGCCTCGCGCAGGGGTGGAGCCAGGAGCGGGGACGCGCAGGCGCGTTGTGCTCCAGCTGGCAAGGGAGGGATGCGGGCACCGCTCGGGCTTTGGGTTTGCTGGGATTGTGGGCGGTGCGCGCACGGCCCGGGAAAAGCGGGAAATGGCGGCTCCGAGCGCGAGCTCCCGGCCCGCCCTTCACACCAAGGGGCTAATGATGGCTGACAGGGGGCGCAGGTGAGTGGGAAAGGGCCCCTGGGGGGGGAAGCGCGCCCCAGGACCGTGACCCTGGCGCCCCCTCCCCGTGGAACCCCGCAGGCTGACCAGTCTGCGCTTCCCGCGGAGGGTGGGAGGCCCCTGTGTCCTTTGGGGGCTCGCGGGCAGCGGCGTCATCGCGGCCTTGTCCCGCGCGATCGGGGATCGCCCGACCTCCCTTTGCCAGGCCCCGGGGAGCTCCGAACAAGGGCCATCACGGCCCAGACCTCTCCTGCCAGATCTCGACTTCTCCCATCTCCCCTCGACACCCCAAGAAGAATTGGGCTCCGTCCCTTAAAAATAGATGAGCCCTGCAGTCCTCGATGTTTTGCACGATGCGCCTTTGATGACGATTGAATCCATTGTGACCCGTGTGGTTGTGGGTAGTATGATCAGATTTCCAAAGCTATCAACAAAGGTTCTGGGGTTTGAATACTTCGAAAGGACAAGGAGGCTCCCGAGGCTCCCAGTGTGCTGGCCTCGTCAGCAGCCATCTCATGTCACGGCAGACATCGCCCTAGATAATAAGTTAATGCCTCCTGGTCCAGACCCGGGAGGTTACTGCAGCACCTGCCCAAGGGCTCAGACTCAGGATCTCTCTCCCTTTGTGCCCTTTCTAACAACCCTTGCCACCCCTTGCAGGTGTATCCTCAAGTTCTAGTTACTTCTGGAAAGGAAGTCCACCTTTGGGAGTCTGGGTGATAGGGAAGGAGCAGTTTGTGGAGAATGGATGATGCTTCAGATGAAACCCAAGTTCTTGACTGAAAAGAAACCTGGAGCGTGAAAGGGTTAAGAACTGGGAGTTTACTGAATTGTGAGTGTGGATGAATGGGGAGAGGCTCTTTGGGCGAGCACACCCCAGGAATCTGAGTAGAATATTTGAGGGCAGATCAAAGGTTTATTAGTGGGAAGCCAAGGGAGGAGAAAACCCTTACAGAGGAAATGCCACTGGTGCTCTTCCTTCCCCTGCTGTATGTGTCTGTAGTTTGCCCGCTGGTTTGATTTTTTTCCTGATCCCTCCTTTGGTTTCCCTATATTCCTACCTCCCCCACACTTGGTGGTGGGAATTTTATGGAGAGGAGAAATCGTTGTACAAAGTGAACAATGTTGTAATATACATATTTAAACGAAGGGAAGAAACCTGAATGTACCCTAGAAGAAAGTGTATCCAGAAGAAACTGCGTGGATCCTGAGGAAATGTCCCTCATTGTGGTCTCCTTAACCCAAGCTGGTGTTTTAAACTATTAACATGAAAATTATGACCTGCAAAATGAGATGGTACAAGCCACCCACCCAAGAGTTGAGGGAGGGGGTTGCGTTATCAGACAGCACCTCAGCCTCCAGCTCCCATTTTGGGTAACTGACCTCCCAACCCCCACCCCCTTTTGATTGAAGACAGTTTCTTTCATTACACTCAAGAAGGAAGTACTCATATATAGGTGGGCAGGACCGAGGGAATGTGCAGGAGTTGTTACTGTAAAGGGCACCTTGCATCTCGCTGTCCCACCTCTGGGTGTGAGTAGTTTGGCAGACTGGGAAATGCTTGCACAGCAGTTCTGGAGCTTTTTTCATCACGAGCCTCCAGCTGTGTATGATGTTATTTTGTGATTAGCCTTGTAACACCAATTTTTACCGGAGTTCATGTGTGTCATCATCGTTACTGCTTTGGTTCCCACTTGATTACTAAGTGGGGGTTTTGATTTTTCTGTTACTGGACTTATTCCAGCTCTAGATTTTTCTGTAGCTGGATTTATTGGTTTGGGATAAGAAGAGCATTGCCATAAAACTGAAGGGAGAAATTAAAATGATATTTTAAACCTCACTGTCTCAAACCCCAGATTTAACCCAAGGTGCCTGTCTTCCTCCTGGGAATATTTTCCTGACTGCTTGTCTGTCTGCTTTGGGGTCCCGCGTGCCTCTTCATGGATCTCTCATCTCTTCCAGTACTCTGCCTCGCCTTCCTCTATAAATCTCTTGCCTGCAGTCAAGCCAAATGCATCGTATAAATGCATGGTATTTCACTGATTCCAACATGAGAATTCCACCTTTCCCACTTTAACCATCTCTGAAGTCAGGTTGCTTTTTCAACTAAGTTCTTAAGTTACACACTGAAACTGTTAGCCTGTCCCCTTCTCTCTGCCAACACACCAAGACTATTATGTACTGGCAAACTAAGGAGGCTCATGAGTTCCAGATTTAGCGCTCTAGACTAGTGCTCTAGACTCATCAATGTGATACATGAAATGGAATTCGTTTAGTTCAGAAATGAAGGCTGATCTCTTTCCAAGCCCACAGTAGAAAATGTGGGAAGTAAAAACACCTCTGGTAAACTAAATTGCCAGAGTAATTTGACTTGTGTGCTCTAACTCTTGAGTGAGTTCGAGTTGATTAAGTCTAACTTCCACCTATTTACTGTGACTTCTCGTTTAGTCTATGAGTGGCTGGAGTTTTTGCCATTTTAAGAAATACGAATTTTTTTCCAGAATAGCCACATTTGACCCATTAGAGGAATAATCCCTTATGAATATAATGTGCTGGTGTGTGTATTTTTTTTTTTTTTGGTCAAGACATATTCCCCCTAAGCAGACCATTCACCTGACAGTGAGAATGTGTAGTTGAACGTTCTCCAGAAAGAATTATGCAGCATTTCCCTGTGATCAGTGTCGTACTAATACTTTGTCTAACCACATTCAATTAATCTTGGCTGTTCTAAGTCCTACTTCTCTTGTTATTCCTACTCGCCCCTCCCCACCCCAGTCTTTCCTCAGACAGCCGCCCTCTGCTTGTGTCCGCAGGGTGCCAGGAGTGTGTGGCATGCATCCCGACCACCAGGAGGCTCTGAAGAAGAACCGCGTGGTGCTGGCCAAACAGCTGCTGCTCAGCGAGCTCCTCGAGCACCTGCTGGAGAAGGACATCATCACCTTGGAAATGAGGGAGCTCATTCAGGTATCTGGAGGCTAAGAGGAGAGCGAAGAAAGCAAACTGGCTGCAGGCGTAGGACCAGCCCGGAAAGGGCAGAAGCCATGTAGAGCTGCGCGCTTCTTAAGCAAGTGACAGACCCCTGCGGCCTGGAGCTCTTAATAGGCAGGTGGAGCATTCCGCCGTAACAGAAAGGACTCACTCTGTGTGTTTCCTGTCAAAGAAGTTGACAGGAAGGTAGAGCTAGATGATGAGGTTACCTGAAGGCCGTCTGGAGACACAGGATGGTGCTGGCACGGGGAAACGATTTCATGTTTCATTCTCGCCTCTCAGGCCAAAGTGGGCAGTTTCAGCCAGAATGTGGAGCTCCTCAACTTGCTGCCCAAGAGGGGTCCCCAGGCTTTTGAGGCCTTCTGCGTCGCTCTGAGGGAGACTAAGCAGAGTCACCTGGAGGATCTGCTGCTCACCACCCTCAGGGGTCTTCAGCACGTGCTCCCTCCAGACTGGAGCCCGATAAATGTAAGCCAAGCCGGTGCGTTGGGCGGGAAAGGGTCTTGGAGCCAGGGTGGGGGAGGCTGCATTGTTTTTGTTTATTTGAACTGGACTTCTCCCTAAGCCGGGCACAGCAGGGCCTCATTTCTTACAGTTGAGCTGCGACTACGACCTGACTCCCCGCTTCCCAGTATGTGAGTCCTGTTCGCCTCACAAGCAGCTCCGCCTGTCCACAGGTGAGGTCCAGGGCATGGAGGGCCCAGGGGTGGGAATGGGGTGCTCGCCACTGCCGACTGCCTGCGCCACGCCTCCTCTCGTGGGTTTTGAGAAGTGTTCTCTCTGAATTTGTTGGGCTCGCATGAAGTGAGGTTGGGGGATTCATTGAGCCCATTTCCCTCCCGTCACAGTTTTTTTTTTTTTTTAAGATTTATGCATACAGAACTGGGTATAGACCAGAGGTGCAGGGGCAGTGAGAGGCTTCACCAGAGACAGAGTGGGGAGCAGAACAGGCAGATCAACGGAGTACACTGCTGAGGGGAGCAGCGGGCGGGTCAGGAGAGGTCTGCCGCGCCTCGTGGGTCACTCCTTGGCTGGGGATCAAACTCGTGCTGCTGTGGTTGCAATAGCTTCATAGTGCTTGCTTTAACCTGTTGTGCCACCAGGGAGGGCCCTCATCACCGATGGTTTTTTGGTGATTGGTTCTTGGAGCAAATTCTGTGGGTAGGGAATTCCTGTGGTCGGCCTGCTCCTCCATAAAACTGGGCTCTTTTAGATGGTGCCTGGAGCTAGACGTGTGTCCAATACCCCATTCAGCCATTTGTTAGGCAGAGAGGGGGGAGCAGAGGCAGACACGCAAATTGGGTATAAGATCAAAACCCAATCAGGGGTGCGTGATGTTAGACTGTGGTACTAGGATTAATGCATAGGTCTTTGGCTCTCACAGATACCGTGGAACACTCTCTGGACAACAGAGATGGTCCCCCCTGCCTTCAGGTGAAGCCTTGCACTCCTGAGTTTTATCAGACACACTGCCAGCTGGTAAGTTGCAGAATTGTGTCCTTTACTTAATTTTAAATGATTCTCTTTTTATTATTATTAATGCATCCAGAACTGGGGTAAAGGCCAGAGGTACAGGGGTGAGGAGAGGATTCACCAGAGACAGAGCAGGGGCAGAGCAGGCAGATCAACTAAGCACACTGCTGAGGGGAGCAGCGGGCAAGACAGGAAAGGTCTGCTGCGCCCTGTGGGTCACCTCTGGGGTGGGGGATCAATCCCACACTGAAGCCGCCCTGGCTAGCTTCGCAGTGCTGTGCTCCAGCCCACTGCACCACCAGGGAGAGCCCAAATTGTGTCCTTTAAATACAGTTGTATGGCAAGAGAAGCGCTGGCCAGTAAGAGGGTCTCCCTGGGCCTCTGAATTCAGTGTGCCTACACCATTCCTTTCTGCTTTGCTCCCTGTGGGGTTAAGAAGATGACATGACTTTGTCTCCCTGGCACAACTCATGTAGAGGGAGAGGCAGCCCCTGTCCTCCAGACGCTCACCGTCTCCTCGGCCTCCCTCCCCAGGCCTATCGGTTGCAGTCCCAGCCTCGTGGCCTCGCGCTGGTGCTGAGCAACGTGCACTTCACTGGAGAGAAAGACCTGGAATTTCGCTCTGGAGGGGACGTGGACCACAGCATGCTAGTCACCCTCTTCAAGCTCTTGGGCTACTCCGTCCATGTTCTCCTTGACCAGACTGCACAGGTACTTGAGGCAGGGGACGCTGACGTAGCCAGCAGAGAGGGCAGCGCGGGGCCAGGACATCCGCTGCTGCGCCCCGGGCGGCGTCTTCAGGTTAAGCTCCCTCCTTCTGCTCCGCTTGCTCCCTTCTGCCTGTCTCCTGGCGGTCAGTGTAGAAGAGTTGGGGTGCTCGCTGCCGGCCTCGGGCGGCCGCACTCCCCGAGCAGCGAGACCAGGGCTGGCGTCTCCCTTTTACAGGTTCAGAAACTTGACTCCCAAGCACTCAGGAAGTGAGCGGTGAGTTTGCTCAGCCAGCTCAGAAGAGATATTAATAGCCGGCACTCTGGAGGACATTTCCTTCTTGGATATTGTTACTGAGGAGTCCGGTATTTTTCTCAAGATTGCTTTGACAGATCAAATTCTTACAAATGGAAGCTTGTTAGACTTGTCCTTGTAAATACCATTTTGCAGCAGCTTCGCAAATTAGTGTGCGGGAAGATTCCCGACCCTTGTCAGTGACTTCGTCACAGGCGGGCCTTAAGATCCTTTACTTCTGGACTCGATTCTTTCACCTCGCAAGCATGTCCACAATGGGTTATTCCCTGTGATCCTCACATTCCTGAGCTGCCACTCACTGGTTACCGTTAGGCATTTCTGTTTTGACATCTGTAATGGCCTATGGTTAAATTGATACTAAATCTGTATTTTGAATACAGAATAATAGTACTTCTGAAACAGGTCTTTGGAAATACCAGTGGCAATATTAAAATTTGGGGGAGAGTCGCATCGGGCTGTCCAGGTGGGGAATCTTGGTCTTGTCTCCGTTGCTGTCTGGGGCCTGTTTCTCTGCGGGCCTGCATCTGTGAGACGGTTTCTGGGAAGGCTGTTCCACCACGCGGCCCTTGGTTGCTGTCTTTTTCAAGCATGTCCGCCAGCTTCCCAGTCAGCCCCCGCAGAGAGGTTCTGCCCTTCAGAACTGTGGCCAGCACAGCTTCTTGTCATCAGGTGTTCCGGTGAGCTGTACACTTCCGCTGAGGTCTGCTGGGCCGAAGCGGGTGAGGATGGGGCATTAGTCATGCTTCCTGCAGAGAGTCCTGTTAGAAAGTCACTGACTAGAGGAATGTTGTTTATGTTTCTATACAGGTTTGGTCTCGTCGGTCTTTTTGCGAGGCATTTGTTATGTCATGCTTTTCCAGATTGTGTGTCGTTGATAAGGATCGTCTGTGCCTGACAGTTGAAGATAGAATCCAGCATCACGCAGTCAGCTCTAGGCACTTGTCTTTTCAGAGACATTACGTAAATGTGACAGGGCCACGAGCCCACTTCATAAATACATTTCTAGTTATGCTGAGACTGATACAGATTCAAGAGCCTTTTAGTTTAATCCTCGGTAACATTGCTGACTACCTGGAATTGCAGAGTTTAAGTTTAAGCGCGTTATAGTGGGGAAAGGGAGGTACTGGGTTAACTCTCAGAGATTTAAAAAAAAAAAGTGTGGACCATGAGTTGAGGGACCTCAGTTGAGGGAGTCTTGGCATCAGCGGAAAGAAAGCATGTCCCCTATATTCCTGAGGACCGAGCAGGGCTAGAGACAGTGTCTCCTACAACAGCGAAGAAGAATTGCCTCGGGTCAGGAGCGTAAGTGAAAGATGTGAGATTTGAGCTCCCTCGGAAGGGCAGAGGCGACTAGAGCAAGGTGGGTGTTGCAGGACCCCAGGCAGGGGGCTGTGAGTAGACAAGGTGTGTGTGCGTTAGGGACAGAGTGGGCAAGGAGTTGGAAATGAAGGCCCAGGATGCATGGACCTTGAATGTCTGTTACTCAACTTTCTTGTTATTAGAACGTCTTAGTAATTTTGGAACAGAGCAGTATTGCATTCACAGTGATGGCTGAGGACGGCTAACCCAACACCAGTGTCAGCAGCGAAGTAGAAACCAGTGGCCGAGACTCCAGTTTGGAGTCAATACAGAGCCAATGACAGTGGCGAGGGGCTGGACACCCTGCGGGCCAGAGGGAAAGCACATACGTGAACAGTGGCTGAGGGCGTGGGCTCGCCTGGGCACGGCTGGTGAAGGGCTGCACAGGGAAGGACGGAGCCACCTAAGGCGAGAATTGCGGGCGCAGAGGATGTGAGGACCAAAGATGTGAACTTGGGGTTGTATTCCCTGTGGAACAAAGTAATCAGAGTATGAAATCTCAGAGAAAAAGATTGGGATAGCAAGCAAAAGGCTTAGGACTAACCCTTGGGCTATAGCACTCCTTGGTGAGGTACCTTTAGTCCTCAGCCTGGAGGCTGAAAAAGGTGAGGACTTTACATGTAGAGCCCCTTTCTGACAGTTAAACTCCCCCCCAGGTAAAGCCAGGTCGTCCAGTGGGGGTGTTGACCTGCTGCCCTGGACATCTGCACCGGACTCTTCCTCACTGAGTCTCTTGAGGTGCAAATCTTGACTATCTAAGACGAGGTGAACAAAGAAACGGAATGGGAACAAACTTAAGATCCTCTTCCCCCCATCACACTTCTCTGACTTCAGAAAGAATTCCATTTCAAACTGAAAGTAGTATCCCAAAGACTCCTCTTCCCTTGATGGAGCTGGGGAGAAGGCTGGGTTCTCATAGCCATTTTCTGCATTATCACAGTCTCTTTCATCCCGTCTCATGGGGTTACTGGTTCTAGAATTACCCACTTATGTATTAGGAAGTGAGATCCATTTTGAAGTGGCGAATTCCCTTTTGCTGTGTGGTTTTGGCTTTTGACCTGCATTTGGGTCACAGTCTGCTTTGAGAATGTAGGGAAAGCCACAGGCTATTCCTGGAAAATAAAGCTGCCCATCAAATTTTGTGTCATTTCAGAGGCTTCCCAGGTTGCTCTCTTCTGGGGTCCCTGCCAGACCCCAGGCACATGCAAGAGTTAACAACTCTGCTATGTATAGAAGTACTATAATCCTATCAGAAATAAATCTAGAGTTACTATTTTTAAGCTCTGCTACTTTTGGAAAAATTCCCCCAAATGACTAATCCCCATTTATTGACTGGTTTAGTCTTATTAACTTCAGTTATAAAGTATGGGGGTTTTGTTGTCCTTATTAATTGACCTAATAATCTTACTTTGAAATATTCATGAGCAGGTGTCAAGCATATGTATTTATTTCCTTCTTAGAACAAGACTTAACTGCCTTTACTATATGTTCAGTTCTATTACGGTAAATTCCAGGGAGTCGTTGGTATACATACATGTCCTCTTGAGAATATATGTTCTTGAAATAAATGAATCTTTGGATATCTTTTAATTACATTAAGATTTTCAGAAAAGATGTATTTTTTCCACAAAACCAGTTTCTCCATTCCCAGTTAGTTGCAGACTCAAGCCACTTTTTTGATCTGCAGTTCCAGTTATCTGCGGCCAGAACTACTAAACAGATTAATAATTCTCGGACTTCCCCGTGAGAATCCCCGGGGGCTGGAAAGACAGTCGCTGAGACCCAAGCCGCTGCAGCCCCGACAGCGCCCAGGCGGGAGCCCGGCGAGACCCGCGTCTGGCCGGGAGGGCTGTTCGCGTGGGGTCGCTGTTGGGGTGCGTGTGCTGAGGCCGCCTTGGAAGTGCTTCATTGTGCTTCAGATGTATAACAACATGAACTTGTTCTCCCTGCTCATCTCAGAGTGGAGAGAGGGCCTCGGCATCTTGTTTTCAAAGGCGACTTAGGGATAACTTAGATTCAAATTATTCTGCCGTTGGTAGAATAATTTTCCACCGGCTGGGCAGCTATACTCGTGAATAGCTCTTTGGTGTGGGGTGGACAGGAGTCTTAAGGTGGGCTGCGGTCGCCAGGAAGAGGTTCCGACAGGTTGACTGCGTCGGCGCTCTTAGCCAGACGTGCACCTTGCGCTGGTGTGTCTCAGAGACGCGTGCTGACGAGCGCACATCCTCTCTGCAGTCTCATTTAATCTTCGCTACCAGAGCGAATGAGCTTTCCATTATCTTCTTCCAAATGCGTTTTGGGGCGCCCCGCAGATGCCGGACCTGGCACCACAAGTGCAGCTTCTCTGCGGCACCTGTGTCAGCGGGGCGCAGACAAAGTGGCTATTTCTACGCTCAGTGCTTAGAACAGTGAGCACTAAGAATGGTTTGTAGCCAGACATTCCTGCGGAAGAGGGCAAGGACAGCCAGGTGGAGGAGCTTTCCCAGTTACTGGGCCCGCCTGACGCCGCTGCCACGGTGCAGGCAAGGGCCCGGCTGCCGCCCCCGCGG